TAATGTATTGTGAAGAGGGTTGCATAATAGACGTGCCTCAAATGTTTTGAGCCATATTAAGATTTTGGAAAAAAAATCGGTATAGAAATTACTAAGGTTTCATGAGACCCCTTTGCACTTTTTATGTAAAATTTCAAAATTTGGATTATATCCAGAGTCGACTATACTATTTAATTTTTGGAAACTTATCAGAACCCAATAGAAGAAAATATTTAGAATTATACTAATTCTAATCATGCCGGACTTGTATATGTCATTCTCCCAAGACTTTGAGGATGTTGCAGGGGAATGTTTTTCGATCGTTGTACTTGTATCTGCTGGATCGTGTAAAACCTTAATAAAACAATCAAAGCCTTCATGGTTTTACGTCGACTATTGGTTGCCAAAAAATATTTGGAAAAATAGTTCTTCGAATGCATTATTAGGCAAAAATTGATAATTTTGAAATTCGGTCATCGGGTAGAGAGTTTTGCAAAGCACGAACAAATGAAATAAGAGCAAGAAAGTGTAAAAAATTTTATTTTATCTTAACAATTTATCACACGGTAGATGAAATTTATTTAATTTATTTAATTTATTTAACTATCGTTACGTCAATCGCTTAAGCATTTATTGCAGTATCGAATTTTGAAATCAACTTAGGCTATTAAATTTATCGAATCAAATTTAGAATCAACGTAAGTTGCTTTTAAATTTCGCATCAACTTGGGCTACATTCCAACCTAAGTGGATTCTAAATCTATAATAATTCCATTCTGACGTACAACATTTATACACGGGTATAATTAATTAAATTACAGATTCGTGTAACATACAAACGAAAATAAAATTCTTGCTTATGGTTAGGGTAAATGGATTCGGGATTGGGAATTTTTTTGTTAGAAGCTAAAAGTGGATTCATAATCAATATTTTGAGATATCTATATTGCCCGTGTACAAACAGAAATTCTCTTTAGAAATATACTTTTTCATTTGGTTGCTCTAATTTGTTCGTTATCGTTATATGTGTTTAACCAAAATAGGTAATGATAAACGTTCAATTAAATTGAGAACTTATCGTGTTTTAAAATCTTATAGTTGAATACTTATTTATTTGTTTATGTTACGTTTTAAGTACAATGCATATGTTGTAATTTGGAATGTGGATTTGGAATTTCCTAGTTAAATTAGGGTTAGGGTTAGGGTGTACATATGATAAAATCAACTCCAAAACGAGGGTTTTAAATATAAATTCCGAATCCACTTAAATTCCGTTGCCACTTACAACATAAACACTACATATAAACTAATAAATTTCATTTCTAAATTTGATTATTGTGAAAAATCATAATCTATTTTTAGAAATGTCCTTTTCATTTGGCCGCACTCAAATAATAAAAATTGGCAAAATTCGTGGTCATAATACTTTAGGGTTTTATTTTTAATTACCTAGAAACTTTATGATAAGATCCTTATAATGCTAGAGAATTTACGAACTTATACCAGGAATTAAACTGGCAGCCTTTTTATTTAATGTTTCTAGAAAGCAAATTTTGCTTATAATATTTAGGCGCGTTGATTATTTGACCCACTATTAAAGATTTTACAAAAATGATGCGTGACATATTGACCAACTGATACGATATCTTATAATTGCTCATATTTAAATTTGATGAAACGCATGAAAATGATTATAAAGATAAGAGCGCTTTGTTATTGATTGAAAATTTTATTTGATGCAGAAGGTGTTTATGAAACAAGCGAAAATTGTTATGAAAGTATGGATCAGGAGGCGTTTGGTGAAACAAATAAAATGGTCAGGAAGCGTTTGATGAGACAAACGAAAATGGTGACATGGCGTAACTTTATTAATTATAAAATTACTGTGATTTACTTGATCAAACTTCATTCGAACCCAACAATCCCAATTACGCTCTCAAATTACTTCCTTATAATCTAATCCCAATCTCACCCCCAGAACAAAAAGTTGAATTAGCGGAAAGTTAGCTGTTGGTCTGCTTTACTATCAATCTTAATTCTGGTGAGAAACCGTTAGAAAATAAACTCCCTATTGCCAAAAAATAGTGAAATAACAAATTAAAATAACAAATAATAACATAAAAATCAATTATAATTCAAGTAGTATGTCAAATAAAAGTGCACAAGAATATATTAATCAAAAATACCCAATAAATGGAACATGTAATAGAAAAGCTGATCCAGAAAACAAGGGCAAAAGACGCGAAGAAATAACCAAATTAGATATTAGCAAAGGAAAAACTGGCAACGAAAACTTATTTAATAAAGAACACAAAAACCTATTTGGTGACTTAAAATTAGAAGGATTTACTAATTTGAGAATTTTTAAAATCTCCTCTCATCAATTGATTAGTTTGGATGTTAGCGCGTGTAGAAATCTAGAAGAGTTAGACTGTTGTGAAAATGAACTTACTAAATTAAATATAAATGGTTGCACTAAACTCAAAATAATCAATTGTACCAATAATTCTGGTTTAACCGAAATAAATATAAATAATTGCCCAAGCCTTGATAGAAAACAATCGAAGACAGATCTTACATGCAAATTAGTAGTGAGAGATCAATTAGTAGTGAAAAGGTTACCAAAACAAAAGAGTTCTCAAAATTTTAAACAAGAAAGAAATGCCTATGGTAAACAAGAAAGAAATGCCAACGGTAATCAAGAAAGAAATGCCAACGGTAAACAAGAAAGAAATGCAAACGGTAATCAAGAAAGAAATGCAAACGGTAAACAAGAAAGAAATGTCAACGGTAATCAAGAAAGAAATGTCAACGGTAATCGAGAAAGAAATGCCAACGGTAAACAAGAAAGAAATGCAAACGGTAATCGAGAAAGAAATGCCAACGGTTATCAAGAAAGAAATGCCAACGGTTATCAAGAAAGAAATACCAACAAAGGAATTGAAAAAGAATTATATGCAAAATGGGACTATCTAAACCAATTGCAATTTAAATTGTCACTGAAGCTCACAGATAATTTAGGAAAAATCTTAACTAAATATTTTTTAAAAAGCCATAGAATGATCTTAGAAGAAAGAGATGTTAAGGGTTATTTTAACAAAAACTTAACCGATTTAAGAAATGGGTTAGGATCAGATACACAAGGTCATAAAATACTTGATCAAATACTGTCTGTGCAAAAGGAAATAATTGATCTGGAAAACGAATTAGGATCTACGACGACATCACAAGTTGGATCACTTCCGCCACCTCCGCCTTATAATTATGCTATTCAAATAGAAGTTTCAGGAAATAATTATAACGCCTTAGAAGTTTCAGAAAATATTTATAACGCCTTATAATTATGCTATTCAAATAGAAGTTTCAGAAATAATTATAACTACTTACCATAAGAAGAGGAGCCACCAATACCCTTATCTAATAAGTTTTGGCGTTCATTTATTAGATAATTTACTTTTTCTAAAAAATTATAATATCCCACTGGGCTATATCTCACCTGAATTATATCATATGTAATCACATTTACATTTAGATCAAATTATGATTTAATTTATAATAACTCTTCAGATAATCCTTGCTAAAATCCTTTCGGAATTTTTTATTAGATGCCAACTTATTCTAGTTAATTTGTGATGATTCGCTAGTTTTATAATTTATAATTTTGAAGAACTATTTCAATTTACCTTTTTTATAATATATATAACATGGCTATGGATACTATACTGTTATGATAAATCTACACCAAAAATAGCCATAACGTTAATATTGCCACTTTCATTAGGAATACTATTTTTATTACTTGTTTTATTTTAAATATTCTTTTTTTCCAAACTAGTTTTTAGTTATATGTAAATTTTTTCATTTGAAATTCTATATTAATATTTTGACAATTAAACGCTTTTTGTTTATCTTCTATACTACGCATTATGTGCAAAAGTGTTATGCCAGTGTATATCGATATTGTTTTTGCATTTTAAGCAATCTAATTGGTCAATCTCGATCATCATTTTAATTTCGCACATGTATCTTATGTAGCATTACCAGGAACGTATGAACCAAATTATTCATTGAACATTAGATGCCATTATGAGTTCCGTAATACAGTAAAATCCGCATTGCCATATCTTTATTTTTTTCTGATTAAATACTTGGCCAATCATTTACGGTTCGCTAATTAAATACTTGACCAATCATTTACGGTTCGCTAATTAAAAACATAACTGAGTAATCTCTTTATGTATAAATAAATGATTTAGTTATATATAAAGAACGAAGAACTTCTAACGTATGATTTAATTTAAATTTATTTCTCTTAAAAATTTCTTTAGTAGTGAATTTATAAAGTATTGCAGATCTAATAAGATTGATCTACCATCGTGACTAAACCTATATACAACAAAGGATTTTCTGTCTTCATCACTAATATGCCTCCATTGCTTTAAAGCCTTATTAACGATGATTTTTTATTATTTAGTAGATATACAATATATGATATACCGAAAATAAGAAAATTATTTCGAATATTGTCTAGAAATTACAAGTGACATAAACGAAAATCCATATGTTTAATTTCTAATATTATTATTTAAGAGAATTGCTATTTGACGCCTGGGCAAATTTTTCTAAAAAAGGAAATTTTTCTATGTAGATCGCAAGATCAGGGGACAATCTTTGTGTAACATGAAATCGAAGGCTTTTTCAAAACATTACCGATAACTCAAAATTTTGCCTAAGAAATCACCTTTTACGTTCTAATTAAAAAAATTCCTGACCAAATTTTACTATATGCCCTTCTT